TACATGAACCCAACTTATCTTTCAAAAAATCTTCTTTAGCGATATCAATGACTTGGCATACATTCTTATTAACCTCTATGAACTTGTTTTGTTTTTCGCCATTTCCGTTCCGCTTTACGGCGATGTTGGCGTGCCACAAGCACAGACTCGTTGAACCAAGGTCTACGTAACTTCGAAAGGGCGAGACTTGGTTACAGATGGAGCATATTATGTATCAAGTACCTTAGTGACTCCAGAAACATACCAATCAAATAAGGATTCACTATCTAATCCTGCAGGTTGAGATGACACTAATTCATGTAAAGCATTAGTGAATTTAACTGTATCGATCTTGCGATAGTTGCGTAGGGAAAAAGTAATAGAGATTGGCTCTGATTTTTGTTTAGCCAGCGAAAAGCAGATCGTGACTTGTAATGATCAGAAATGCATGTATCGACTGTGTGACAGCCTAGTATCACTGAATCCTCTAAGTCTAAAGTGTGACCCAGGTTATGTGCTGAACCTTGAACATGTTGGATAAACCCAACAGATGTAATGATATTCTTCACTTGGAGCACATCATTTTTAGTCATATCTTCCCAATGGACATTCAAGTCTCTTAATAACATCAATTTTTCTGGATATAGTGATATCTCACTTACATATTCATCAAATTCCTTCAAGCAATCAGAAACTGTAAATCTATTTGCTGAAGACGCCCTACACACACACACACACACACACACACGGACACACTGCAATCAACATGAGAAGTGCTCCGGCATAGAAATGCCTGGATGGAGATGATGGAGACAATCAATAATCTGAGTATAGAATAGCTATTACGCAACGGCGACCATGAAAGAAGAGAGAAGAGAAAGGAAGAAAGAAAGAAGAAGAAGAGACATTTATACAATTTACTAATAATCAAAAGAAAACCTAAATAAGCTGTAGCCTGTAGCCATGATTGCTCTCCTTGTATTGTCCTTTCCTGTCCATTTCTTTGCTCATTCTAATCCTCCTCCTCTCCCTTTCTCTAGCTCTCCTTGATCATCAACATTTTGTTTTCTTCCTCTTATTATTTATACTTGTACATCTCTATCGGTTACATATTAGGAATCGATTACAGAGCTTTAATATTTCTTCGATTTTACACAAAATGGATAAGAAACATATTTCTTTTAATGATAGACCTACTGATAATTTTCTGATCATAACACAAGTAACACTTGTTTAATTTGGATTAAAACCTAAAACAATATTAATACAGTTCTATTCCATTTCTAAAACTTTGACCTAATAATTTATGTAACCGGGTTTATTATGTTTTTGTATTATATAAGATCAATTCACCTTCTCACAAGTCGTTTAAAACTTCACGCGAAAGTAAAAATATATTTTGGTACGGTAGCGATATTTGATCTCTTCCGTAATTCTTATTCACATGTCAAAAAGAAAGTTTCTTCTTCTCCTCATTCCCTTCTCTTCTCCTCTTTTCTTGTTTATCATTAAACATATCCAATTTTAATCTTCAATTTGTTTTATTTTCACATCCGATAAAAATCACAATAACAAACATTTACAATACAAAGTCAATTCAAACAAATAGCACAACAGAACGGAAGTATCAAAATGTGGGGGGGGGGGGGACAAACAAAGGCCAAAGGCCTTCCAAAGGCTTGTCCCCAAACTATATAAATAATTAAATATAAATTAGGTGGTACAACAGGAAGACAAAAAAAACAAGGCAAACGTACCGCTTTGCAGACTCAGAGGGTGTAAGGTTTAATAAGATTATATTTATATATTCTTTCAAAACTAGATAAGGAAGGGCGATTCTTTATTGCAATCCAAGACTATTTATGACCACTAAATGTTATTGTGGTACGGGAAAATTCATACTTATATTTTGGAATTCGAATGTGGTTGGACTGTCTAGTAGAGTATGGTACAAAAAAACAATTTACGGGAAAACATAAAACTGGCTAATTGCAACTTGTGTATATATCTTGAACTTTCAACTGTTTAGCCTTAACAAATAGAGGATCCGTGTGTGCTAAACCGGTAATAATTCGTATTGCTCTTTTTTGTAAACTTATAAGTTGACGCACAACTACCCCAAATAATGTTACAGTATGTCAAATGAGGTACAATCGTAGACCGATAAATAGCAATTAGAATATGGTGAGGTAAAACCTTCTTTAAACGATTTAACGCCCCAATGAATTTTGATATTTTACATGCTGTCTCAGTAATATGATTTGTCCAACTTAATTTATCATCCAAAACAACCCCTAAGAAATAAGTAAAAGGTACAGAAGGAATTTGGCAATTGCCAATAAATACATTTATATCAGTTATTTTAATATTTTTATTCTTGAGTTGAAAAAGCATCCAACATGTTTTGACAAAATTATTTTCAATTTGTTAGATGCAAACCAACCAGAAAACTTTTTGAGCTCAGTGTTCAGAGTGTTACATAAATAATCAACATTGTCTCCTGGTAAAAATAAGCTAGTATCATCGGCGTAAATAATTGCATGTAAAATTTTGTTCACAAACTGTACATCATTTATGTATAGAATAAAAAGTAAAGGCCCTCACGCAGACCCTTGTGGAACACCGATGTTTATATACTTGGTAACGGAGGATTTATTATTAATAGAAAAATATTGCACTCTGCAGGCGCGTAAGCAGGGGGGGGGGGGAGGGTTGGGGGTTAACCCCCCCCCCCCCCCTTTTTTAATTTGTTTTAATGTGTGTATTTTTGAGCAACCCCCCCCTTTTTTGTGGATTTTTTGTGTTGTTTTGTTTTGTCTTACCCCCCCCCCCCCCCGCTTATTCAGCGGCAGGCTGAGTCGTTGCAAATTTTTTAGCCCGATTTCAAAATGTTAAACCCCCACCCCCCCCCCCCCCCTTGAAAAAATCCTGCGTACGCCACTGGCACTCTGTCATGTATGTAACGCTCGAACCAATTTAAAGCTGTACCACGAACACCATAGTGTTTCATTTTTTGAATTAAAATTTGATGATCAACATAATCGAATGCTTTCGACTCTAAGAATAAACCTATAATGCACTCATTACTTTCAAAAGCTTCAGAGATATTATTTGTGAGTTCAAGTCAAGCCATATATGATGAAAAACCTTTTCTAAATCCGAATTGCTTGGAATATAAAATATCATGTTTATGCAAGAAATTTACCAAACGACAGTACATTTACTTTCGAATATTTTGGAGAAAATAGATAGTACTGATATTGGTCGATAATTCGTCAAAAGCTCTTTCTTTCCTTTCTTAAAAATGGTATAACTTTAGCGATTTTCATACTACTGGGAAATATACCTGCTTGAATAGACATATTAAAAAAATTACATAAAGGCTGTGCCCAAAAAACAATCGCCTTTTTTATAACACGTGTGTTTATATCGTCGTCTCCAGGACTTTTACTGCTATCCAAATTATGAACAATTTCTAGAATTTCAAAAGGTTTAAAGGTAAAGACCAGTAATGGTCATGCGATTGCATTGTGAAAGAAACGTTGTGGAATCGATCAGAAAAGGTTGATCATCTAGCATCTAGCATCTGCAAGGTTCTGGAATCATCAAAATGATAAGAAATTTGGCCCATTCTTCGTAAAGTTACAAGCACTATACACAGAAAGATGTATATGGGACTACCCTATCTCTCTCACCAGACCATGAGAGAAATAAGTTTACCAAATATATGAATTAGTAGGCGGTTTCCCGGCAAATTTTTTATCATCATGTATTAGTCAAAACATATTCTTTCACATGATTGGTAATGAGAGCTTCCATTTCATTTTTTGAAATTGGGGCGTTGCCAATACTGGTCTTTACCTTTAATCGGATTAATGAACATAGTTTGAGAATTATCTTGACCAGGTCGAATTTTTGTCTTCCTCTTATTATTTATCTATCAGTTACATATTAGGAATCGATTACAGAGCTTTAATATTTCGATTTTACACAAAATTGATAAGAAACATATTTTTGTTTAAATGGTAGGCCTACTGATAATTTGTTAATCACAAAACAAGTAAAAAAATTAAAATTTGGATTAAAAAATTAAAACAATATTAATACAGTTTTATGCCATTTTCTAAAGGATTGACCAAATAATTTTTGTAACCGGGTTTATTATGTTTGTGTATCATATAAATTTGATTCACCTTTTTAAAGTATTGAATAAAATGTTTTACAAAAACACATATTTTGGCACGGAAGTGATATTTAATCTCTTCCCTATATAAAGTAAGTTTCCTCTTCCTCCTTCTCTTTTTTCCTCTTTTCTTCTTATCACCATAATATGTATCTTGAACAACCTTTCAGGACAGAGTTCACATAACTCAGCAAAGAGTGGTCAGGCCCTAAACTAAACACTCGAACATACAGTATTTCATTTCTGAAAAGAACAAAAATTACGTAAATTTGCTTAAATTAGGCAAATTGATAACATCTAAAGAATCACTTCGTTTTAAAATTTAAACAAAGACGCACATTATTATGTATTATTGTCCAAGTGGTACAATAAATCAGTGTATACAATCTTTAGCGCAGTTAGCCGGATGACTGACCAACTTATTTTCGTATTGCTCAGTCACCGGCCGGGACCTTTTTTTTTAATAATTATTTTTTATTTTTTATTTCCATCATTCACAGGTGTTACATCAATAAATATTTGGTAAACATTCAACAAACATTGATAATTATATAATGTAATTGAAGGTAGGTCTACGTGACATACAACTCATATAAACAAATTCAAGATCATTACAGTTAAGTGTATTTTAAGATATTACTTCAAATTAACATATTGAATATATATAAGAAAATAAACACTTTAGCATCTAACACCCATGAATTGGAACATATGTTAAAGACAGACTAAAAACTAACAAACAAACGAACATACGGAAAAAGAAGGGAAAAAAACACACACAAAAACATGAAGAGGACACACCCACCGGTATCGCGATTCCCTGTCTATCGATACCGGTAAGAAAACAAAATCGACTGAAATGGATTCCGTCCAGAAAGAATTTACGTATTCCTTCAAAACCAAGGAATATTTGACAAAGTTAGGTGTTCCAATAACTATACCTCTGAATATCTCAGCTGAAGAATTTGTTGGACGGTTGATCAGTGCACACAATCTTCCCTGTTTCGTCGAAGAAGGTGAGTTGATCGTTGATTTACCCAACAATGTCCAATCCAGTCCCACTAGCTCAAATCTGCGTTAGTAATATAGAACCTAAGTCAAGATTGGTGATTTTCTTGCATAAATTTTGTTTAGAAATTAAATCTTATCTATACAAAAGGCCACCGTGGGAGTTTGTGTGATATTTTTTCATTAAGATAGAGTTCAGGAAATAAACATGTAGGTCTAGGCTACATAGATCTAGATCTAGACCCTATGCATCTGAAAAATACTCCAAAAATAACATTTAGATCTACTAGGGTCTAGATCTAGATCTAGTCTAGTACAAGAAAATTGACACGAAACGGGTAATAAACATAGATCTAGATCTAGACAGTCTAGGTCTAGTCTAGTCTAGGCCTAGGTCTAGATCTAGCTAGGTCTAACGACTTTTAACTCATGATCTTTATTTGGACATTTAATGAATATTTACTTCATTTTGGGCATGTTTTAGTTGGGTATCTCCACGCTGGAGTTACGGGTCAAATTTTGGATAGGTTTCTGAACAAGCGCCCATGCTTTTCAGTCAAAGTTGTTTTCGTCTGTACTAGACTATATTCAGAACCATAATTCATAAAGAAGTAGCGACCAGAAGACCAACAGGACTAGCTTTTCTTCCGTATACTGTTGATGATGATGTTGATGTCTAGATCTAGACCCTAAGGAAAGGAGTAGCCTGGGCTAGACTTCAAGTTATAGAGACGTTTTGAATGTTGAAATTCTGGGCCTATTTTTTCTTCTTTTTTTAGGGTTAATGAGTCTACATAGATCTAAACGTCAAAGACCTAGGGTTAGGGGTTAGAGTTAGGATTAGGTTTAGGGTCACTTATCAAGCTTAAGTCTCGAGATTTAGCTTCATTGGTATTTGGTACCCTACAAACGTTTTGTCCATTTTAGTGGTGGGGTATTCTAAAGTTGTTCCCATACATATAGTAAGTTAGTTGAGCAGATCAATGACCGCACAGGTACAGGTTAGTCACTCAGTGCAATCCATAATAGTCTTGATGGTTTTATTATAAATTAGGATAATAATAATAATAATAATAATAATCATTTAATGTCCACTCCAAATTTTATTAAACCGAAAATGGAAATTCTTTTTGCCCAATTGATCAAAAGTTTTGTTGTGAAGTTGATTGACAAAGAGTAGATCTAGCATATTATGAGCCATGGCATGAGTAATGTTAGATCTGGCTGTACATCTAGCTCTAGATCTACGCTAACTGCATGTGCACACTTTCATTTACATCTGACTTTGGCTTGAAATTTTAATTTGAAACCATGCACTACAGAGACAGAGATTCAAGAAATTGGCAAAAATGAAACGTATACATTTTTAATTTGTTTAAATATTTTTTACTGTAAATGATTAATAAATAGTTTTCTTGTGTTACAGACTGATTAGGAAATGGGTAAGATCTAAAGTTTAGCTTGACATGAATATTGGATACATTCCTCATATTTTAATCAACCTTTCATAATTATAATTTCAGAACTAACACGAGAGCTGGAAAAATTTGTTATCAAGGAAACGGAAGCATTTCACAATAAAAATGGTGAGGAGGCTATCAGAGTGTTGCAGTCCAGTGGTGATGAGGAGATAGGAAACATTGCAGATAGATGGGCAAGGGCGTTCACACAGGTATGTTATCATAATCAGCAAACATTAGTAAAATGACGTCTTAGGAAGATGAATCCAATTAACACAGAAGGCTATGAAACATTCATACCAGGGAATAATTTTCCTGGTATCACATCACAATTTGCTATGCATTTTTGCATGACTGTTATACAAAATATCTTTTGTGTAGCAGTTTTCTTTCATAGAAATGTACAGAATTTCATTTGAAATATTTATCCATCGGCTGAAATTGATAATCAAAAAATTAAGGAAAAATTATTACCTGCATACTGATTTATTAATTGCGTGTAGTGTAAATGAGGTACATGAAGATATTGAGCAGAACTTTCACAATAATGTTACCTCAACTTTGGCATTGCTGCTAAACTCAAGACACCTTTCCCATGAATACATGTGTCATATATTATTCATGCTCGCAGTGTTATGACACCAGTCTATGTGCTGTTTTTTTTATAGAACAAACCTAAAGATGAATCAGTGTTTGGAGAGATGTTCCATACATTTATCCTCATACACTCCCTGCTTTAGAGACGATCTTGAAGTTGAAGTTAGAACACACCTACTCCATGTCTGTAGTGTAGCTAAAAACACAAATATTTAATTTGTTTTTTCTTATAGGAATGTGTAAGCCATGCACCAATCACCACACCTAAAGATGAAGCGGTGTTCGGCGAGATGTTTCATACCCTCATCCACTCTCCTGCTCTTGAGACAATCTTTAAGTTGAAGTTAGAACACACCTACTCAATGGCTGTAGTGTAGTTGAAACAAAAATATTTTATGTGTTTGTATTCTTATAGGAATGTTTAAGCCATGCACCAATCACCACACCTAAAGATGAAGCGGTGTTCGGCGAGATGTTTCATACCCTCATCCACTCTCCTGCTCTTGAGACAATCTTTAAGTTAGAACACACCTACGCTATTCCTGTAGTGTTGTTAAAACACCAATATTTCATGTGTTTGTATTCTTATAGGAATGTGTAAACCATGCACCAAACACCAAACCCAAAGATGAAGCTGTGTTTGGCGAGATGTTTCATACCCTCATACACTCTCCTGCTCTTGAGACAATCTTTAAGTTAGAACACACCTACGCTATTCCTGTAGTGTAGTTAAAACACCAATATTTTATGTGTTTGTATTCTTATAGGAATGTGTAAGCCATGCACCAAACACCAAACCCAAAGATGAAGCGGTGTTCGGCGAGATGTTTCATACCCTCATACACTCTCCTGCTCTAGAGACGATCTTGAAGTTGAAGTTAGAACACACGTACTCAATGGCTGTAGTGTAGTTAAAACACAAATATTTCATGTGTTTGTATTCTTATAGGAATGTGTAAGCCATGCACCAAACACCAAACCCAAAGATGAAGCGGTGTTCGGCGAGATGTTTCATACCCTCATACACTCTCCTGCTCTTGAGACAATCTTTAAGTTAGAACACACCTACGCTATTCCTGTAGTGTTGTTAAAACACCAATATTTCATGTGTTTGTATTCTTATAGGAATGTGTAAGCCATGCACCAAACACCAAACCCAAAGATGAAGCGGTGTTTGGCGAGATGTTTCATACCCTCATACACTCTCCTGCTCTTGAGACAATCTTTAAGTTAGAACACACCTACGCTATTCCTGTAGTGTAGTTAAAACACCAATATTTCATGTGTTTGTATTCTTATAGGAATGTGTAAGCCATGCACCAAACACCAAACCCAAAGATGAAGCTGTGTTTGGCGAGATGTTTCATACCCTCATACACTCTCCTGCTCTAGAGACGATCTTGAAGTTTAAGTTAGAACACACCTACTCGATGTCTGTAGTGTTGTTAAAACACCAATATTTCATGTGATTGTATTCTTATAGGAATGTGTAAGCCATGCACCAAACACCAAACCTAAAGATGAAGCAGTGTTTGGCGAGATGTTTCATACCCTCATACACTCTCCTGCTCTTGAGACAATCTTTAAGTTAGAACTCACCTACGCTATTCCTGTAGTGTTGTTAAAACACCAATATTTCATGTGTTTGTATTCTTATAGGAATGTGTAAGCCATGCACCAAACACCAAACCTAAAGATGAAGCAGTGTTTGGCGAGATGTTTCATACCCTCATACACTCTCCTGCTCTTGAGACAATCTTTAAGTTAGAACTCACCTACGCTATTCCTGTAGTGTTGTTAAAACACCAATATTTCATGTGTTTGTATTCTTATAGGAATGTGTAAGCCATGCACCAAACACCAAACCCAAAGATGAAGCGGTGTTTGGCGAGATGTTTCATACCCTCATACACTCTCCTGCTCTTGAGACAATCTTTAAGTTAGAACACACTTACTCCATGGCAGTAGAAGACATAGTGAAGCAGAGAGATGCTGCTCTACGTAAGCTACAAGACAAGTATGTATACCAGCTAAATTCTACAAGATTTGGTGAATTTTCTGCTCATGATGTGAAAAGGGATAATCACAATTTAATCACATCTAAATAATAATAATAATAATATTTAATTTTTATATAGCGCTTAATACAAATGTCTCTAAGCGCTTTACAAATATATACTATTACCCTGGTCATTGGATTCAGTGCTTGCCCGCACACACTGTGTGCACAATCTCCACTCCCTGGGGAGCATTCCAGCCGGGCATTACTTGACGCTCACATTATTATTAATATTATTATCATTGAAATGTTGCAAAACACACTGGAAATGCATACAATGTCTTTTTGCCACTATTTAGAATGGAGAAGAAATATTCCTGCTAAGTTTAACAAAAACTATAAACTGAAGCTGAAGATATGTTTTCACTAGAAACAGGCTTTTGTTTTTATACATTTATCCTTTTATGCACACCACTAATATCAGCCATGGGCATCAAGAGATAAATACAAGATTTCCATGTTAGTCCTAATACTGATCAAATTCTTCTATCTTATTGCAGACAAGCAAAGGAGATGGAGAGAGCTGTCAAGAATCTAGATATCACCCATGATGATCTACACGTCAACCGTCTTGCAGCCATCCACTTTGAAAACACTCAAGTAAGTAGTCGTTGAAAATTGATTTTTATTCAATAATTTGTTTGCAGTAATTCAATTCAGGTTATATGTGAAATATAAAATTGCACTTTTGTTATTTTAAGATTATTTTAAGATCTTAATAATTGTGAGTCTTTTATGCACCATTTATTAAAAGGACCAGTACATTTATACATTTGTATTAATAGAAGAGTAAGGTTGCTATTTGGGGTTCATTTTTGTGTTGATTATTTGTTTGATGTGATGTGTCTTTTAGGAAGAGGAGGCTAGATGTGGCAATGAATGATTTGATGTGTGTCTTTGTTCAGAATTTTTGTCTTTTAGCGAGGGTAGGTAAGATTGGACACATAGTATTTTGGTGTCAATGTATGTTTGTTCAATTTGTGTGATTGTACGTTAGAGAGAGGAGTCGAGATGGGACAACGAGTTGCGCAACCTTCAAGATTCTCAGCGTGAGGAGTTTCATGAGTGGATCAAGAACTTACATGAGGACATGGGGAACGGTGTAGAAGGACCTGTAAGGTAAGAGCCCATGACATTCCTTATACATTACTAACCCTGGGTAACTAAAGACAGTCAAATGTAAATGTACAATACAATACAATAAAGTCATTTCTATAGTGCTCTTACAAACCAACTGTTGTTTCACAGCGCTTTACATAAAAATTATCAAAGAATCTGGTATTGATCATGGTCAAAGAGGAGAGTTTTGAGACATTTTCAGGAAAACATCCGAAATGTAGATAAAAAGCCCCTAAACGACTGCTGAAAAATTTCATTAGGGGGGTGTGGATAATCATAAAACGGTTCTGTGCCACATCCAAATATTAGTAGGTTACCTGTGTGATGGTTTCAGTGTGCAAACACCTTCCTCAGGCTTGTACTAGCAAACTGAAGCTAGTTGCCAATTTTCTAGTAGCCAAAGGATGCCATTTTGGCAATCAGCGGTTCATGAATGTCAGAGAACTGGTATGCCCCCTTGTTCCTAATAGGTTAATTGTCTTAGTTCCCAACATGGAAAATACTTAGATTTGTACTGCTAAGACAATGGATTTCATCTGCACAGTCAATATTGATGTAGTTTTCTTTTCTTTTGGCGCAAATTTCAGAAGAAAAAGGCATCTTACAAACCATTGTTCTAAATGCTATTCATTTGAACAGAAAAGAAAAAGAAATTCTGGACATGCAGTGATAGGTTCTCTAATTCATTGACGTTAGATTTTGACCCCCAAAGTTGTTTTACTAAAAGCGTGGTATTGTTGCATGTTCTCTGTACAGTCGTAGGATCAGAGCATTGTCAGAGTCGATGCCGGTGGAACCTGAAGAAAACGTTCCTGATCAACCCAAGATGGAGGAGAGCTACACCATTCATTTAGGTAAGATATTAAAACCCTTAAAGCCCCACTGCACTACTTATAGCTTCTTGCGCCCTCTGTATAGCAAACAATGCCTAATCGGTGACCGTTGGTCCCCCATGATCCCATTTTTCTTATGTTAATTGAGAGCTGATTTGATGAGATAACCACCTGCCGGTGACCACGCAGGGATGTCTTATCCCTCCTGGCCAAACTATTGCAGCCTTGCTTTAAGATTGTAGGATTATCTACACATTAGTGTATATTTTGCTTGTAAATTCCAACAACCCTACACAGTATCAGAGTTCTTATACCTGTTCTATTTGATGGCATCTGTAGAACAATGTTGATACACTTCCTTTCACATACATTTTCCTGGAAAATTGATAGCTCCTGCATTCAAGCCTTTCTATCCATTTATTTTGTTTTCAGGTGCCCAAATGAAGACCATGCACAACCTGCGACTGATGAGTATAGATGTCTTGGATCTGGGTAGGCATAAACCTAACAGAGAAGGGTAAGACATGGATTTTTGTTATTAGATGTTTATGTTTTTTTTTTTAAACTGTTTCATACATCAATTCTTCATCAAGCCTGTCATGCCAAATGAAAATTTAAAAAAAGAAAAAAAAAGAATAATTGTAATGCCTTTTAGGAATACTCCTTTTATTCCTTCTCATCTACTGTACCAGTTGATCAATTTTGAAATGTTTCAAAGTACCCCCTCCTCCCCCCCCCCCCCTCCTGCAAAAAAGATAAATATTTCAGTATTTACTCTGAATCCCCCCCCCCCCCCCTGTCTTTTCCTCTTATGCTTCCTATGTATGTATCTTTTTCTTTATTTTCCCCCTCTCTGCCGCTGTACCCCTCCCTCATCCTCTGCTAGCACCATATAGAATTGTTTTACTTTTGTTATTTGTTTGACATTTTTTGATATTTGTACTTAATTGTCCCAATGTGTAAAATGTTGAAATTCATAACAACTTGTAATGAACTTTCTTTGCATGTGTTATCCCTGTTTATGTAATCATATTCAAATAGATTCAAATCCTGCACTGAGAAAAGAAAACAACTGTTTGAACAGCTCTAAACTACTGTGTTTGTTGTGCTTTTACAGGGGAATTTTAATACCTCAACCCCAGCGACTGCAGACTGCTCTTTCACTTTATTCAACCAATCTGTCAGGGGTGGTGCTCATGGTGGATGATAGGGTCAGCTCTTATACCGGTATTAAAAGAGGTATGTTAAATATATTTATACATTTATATTTCAGACAGTTCTTTTACTCTACTCAACCAGTTTATCTGGGCCCCATTTAACAAAACTTGTCATCAGCGACAAATGACAGTTTTTGTTATAAGCTACTGAAATCCTTGCTTCTTTGTCATTTGTCATTGAAAAAAAACTATGTGAAATGCCCCCCTGGTGTAGTTCTGATCGTAGATGATTTAATCAGCTCGTATGCTGGTATTAAAAGGGTGATATAAATGGATAGATACTGTAAGATAGAAACATGTTGATTGATATACAGGGTATATATGTATACTGAAAGATAAGATGAAGTTCTACGACGGGGGTGATTATGTTTTAGTTTTAGTTCTCTATTTTGTCTCTTGTCAATTTTAGGTAAAATTTAAGTCAATAGATATATATCTACAGATGTATTGAGAAAGACGAAACCAGAAATACAGAGAAATATAGATATAGACAGATAGATAGATCGACAGATAGATAACTGTATAAATATTTTCAGCCACACCATTTAGCTTCCGTAATGCTATAGAAGCATTCAGATTTATTATTACTCTCCTTAAGCTGAATATGACACAGATGATATACATTGTTCTGTTCTTCAGTACGATATACATTTCTATATATTTGTGTTTGTAGATTTTGCCACAGTGTGTCAGCAGTCGACAGACTTCCATTTCCCGGACCTAGAGACCCAGCTCAGAGTGATCCATCAGGGCGCCCTCAGGGTCAACGCAAGGCGCAAGGACAAAAAGAAATTAAGTGGCGGAGGTAAGTACTCTCTCTTCTACATGTACCTTGGATGTTTCAATGTATTGATTGTTTCTTTTAACCTGTTTAGTACTATGTCTGAGATAACTTTGGCTGGGGTCTACAGATGATGCCATTTACATGTATACCAAAATCCAATTGAGAAGGCGTGATCGCTCAGTGGTTGAGCAGTGTCTCGTACCTGGGAGGTCAAGGGTTTGAAACCAAGTCGATGCGCTATTGCCCTTTGGTAAGGCATCAATTCTCATTACCAAAACCCTCGAAGAGGAATAAAGCCGTTGGTCCCCTGGTTGTTTACTTAAAAGCACACGCTGCTTTCTCTGATAGCAGTCAGGTAAACAAACAGACCAACCAACATACTAAGCATAAAATAATAATAACAAGAATCCAATTGTATTCAATGAGTTTGGTGATTGCTGAGAAAGAACATGGACACTTTAAAGATGAAGTTGAGTTCTGGTCATGCGATTGCATTGTGAAAGAAACGGTGTGGAATCGACCAGAAAAGGTTGATCATCTAGCATATTAGAATTTGTTTGTATTGCAACTTTGCAAGGTTCTGGAATCATCAAAATGATAAGAAATTTGGCCAAGTCTTGGTAAAGTTACAAACACTGTACACAGAAATTTGTATATGGGACTACACGAACACGTGGCGTAAAAATCCCACCCCCGAGTTTTACGATGTTACATGCCATATTTAGAGTATGAAGGCATTTGAAGAGCAATGCTTTTCAGGGAACATGTCTTATCTGATGTTCTTCCACACTTGCATAATAAGAATGATAACGCTCCCAAATTATTTTTCACCTCTTCCCAGAACTCAACCTTCTCTTTAAACTAAAGTAATCATACCCTAACCAAGTTTGGGGATTTTTTTTTAAAGTAAGTGAAAAATTGAGACGTCCTGATTTATGTTTCTTGAGAATGTGACATACATGTATTAGAGCTTACAATCTAAAAGTATTCAACAAAGTCCCTTATTTGACCAGTCCACCTTTCATTCTGGAGTTACAAAACACATCAAATTTACAAAGGATTGAATAATTGTGTCCTTCAGTGAAGCACTGTACAAACATTGATTTGAGAGATGTTGGTTTATTATGATTGTGTTCACAGACAGCAGTTCAAGCAGTGGGTCTGAGAGTAGCAGACCAACATCATTACACGAAGATGGTGAACTCACCACAAACCTCAGAACAGGTGAGAAATGATGTATGACTTTAAAAATAGATGTTTGAACAGATTGATGAATATGGCACACAGTGGAAAAAATTGTATAAGTTGATTATATATAGATCTTACCCATTTTTCTGTTGCCTTAATTACTACCTTTTCTGAGAAGTTTTGGTCATAATGCTCCCCTTCTTGTAACTTCAGGGGGGTGTTTCACAAAGATCCTAAGTAGAACTTAACTCTAAGTTGGACTTAAAAATTATGGACAGCCATTAGCATCTTTGAAAATATTTGGTAAAAATATTTTTGAAAGGCATAAAATGTTTATTCAAATCATTCATATTTTCTATCATTAAGGAGATTTCATATTCTTGTTGTGGAATTTATGAAATGTCTAAAATACTTGAATTTCTGCTTTTGAGTATATTTCATTTTAAGGCTCCAATGGCTGTCCATAATTTTTAAGTCAAACTTAGTGTTAAGTTCTACTTAGGATCTTTGTAAAACACCCCCCAGGAATCAGATCTTTTCTTTTATATGTTCGACAGTTCTAGAATAGCCATAGTGTGCATTGAGCAGATATTTGATGAGATTATTGCGTAAATGGAGAGACGGAGTGGTGCCATGGTCCAGTGGATACCTTGCAGTACATGGTTCATGGGTTGAGTCCTGCTGCGGCACTAATATCCTTCGACAAGATAATAATAATAATAATAGCCTAATAGTCCACTCCAAATTTTATTAAACCGAAACGGAAATTCTTTTTGCCCAATTGATCGTGAGCCCCGCAGCCACTGAGCAGCGCCAGATCGACGTTGCTCTATCCCTTATTGTTGAATGCCAAACAAGGTAGCAACAACTCCCATCTTTTGTTGATGTTGTTGTTGTCATGATAATAAGCAACTGGTATCACACAAATGTTACATTTAGCAGAAGGATCTGAAGAAATTGTAAGGTTTAAATAGAGATGGAATAATGCTCTTACGCATATTTCAACTTAAATAGCTCTGTCTCATTACAAATGTAAAACAGTAATATCAATGAGTAATGTCAGAATAAAGAGAATGTTATTTCCTCTCTTCTTACAGGTGATTTCTACGTTACAAGGCATTCCAATCTTGCCGAGTGTCACATCATCTTTCATCTGGTGTCAGACGACAGCTTACGATCCAGCGACATCAACTCCCGACACCGCTGTATCCTCGCGCTGCGGAACATCTTGAAGTACGCCGTTCAGTTTGATATCCTCTCCATCACGCTTCCATTGTTCCTCATGTATGAGATGTATGAGGTGGGTTTACGTACATCTGAGATCTTTGTTGGGCCCAAATATGAATTGTGACGAGGCTTACATAGCTATCAGCTATTACAAAAAATTCAAAATTACTACAAATTTCAGACCTTTTGTACAAATTAACAAATGCACCTTCAAGAATTACAAATATGGGTGCAAATATAGGATGCATGCATTGAATAGTGGACACAGTTGCGCAATCGCATACTTGTTTGGTTGCGGTTTTATAATCGTACCACACATGATTGCCATTTTACCCTCATTACTATTTGAAAATTTCAGATGTTGGCAGCTATGAGCTAATTTTGTAGAAGTTGTGAATGAATGAAATACGTTTCATGCTTGGGGTGGTAAATATTCTTTAAACTGTAAAATGAAGTCTCGAAGATTGTAATATTTTCCTTTTTTACAAGTTTATAGTCAAATGTAAGCATGCTAACACACAAGGTACAGCTTTGACCTTTTTGTTGACAGTCAGTTGTTCTAAATGAGCCACAATGCACACAAGTATATGATAATACATGTATGTATTTCATTAATCTGCATGTTACATGACACTAGCATATAATGAGTGACATAGAAAAAAAGCAATCAAGGTTTTGCTCAAATTAACCACAAGAGAAGGTGAAAACTGCACTGGCATACAAAATTTTCCAATATTTTCTAGCCACCTAGGTTTATTTTACTGCCTTTCTCTAGCTAGTACACGAAATATAAAAGTCTAGTGGAGAAAGCGATATTGAGCTAAGAATTTATTTTCGTACTGTGCATAGACTTTGTATCCTGTTCCCACTCATTTTAACTTGCTCTTGCCTGACAACTCATGTTTGTGTGTTTGGCTATCTGTTTAATACAGGAAATGACAATACCTTGGTGTATCAAGCGAGCTGAACTAGTCTTCAAGTGTGTTAAAGGTTTCATGATGGAGATGGCTACATGGGGAGGGAACGAATCGAGAACCATTCAGTTTGTTGTACCAAAGGTAAGTACTGCAACGACTCATGTAGCAATCATTTCCACTTTTATGATGGGGGGGGGGGGGGGGGGGGGGGGGGTGGGTCCAGCTGTCCCTTTGTTCCTTTGGATTTAATGAAAAAATATGCCTCCAAAAGCATTGACCATGATAAAGAATGGGTCTTAATCATTTTTTCCAACATAAGTTTTAAAAGATTTACGAAATGTTGCTCGTAATCTTCTTGAGCTTACTGTTTGAAATCAAAACAACATGTGTATTTTTGTGGGATATTATTAAACTACATGTATTATCATCAGTCTTCAATTTTGGATATTATTTATGGATTAATGAACAGCAACAAACCTGTCATGACATCCAAAGGGTTATCTTTAAACATATTTCAACAATTTATTATAAAGAACTAAGACGTTGATACCAGGGATGACCTGAACACCTGTAAATCTTCTTTTTTTTTACCTTTACTTTTCACAGACCTGTATGAATGAATAAATGGTTTATTTGTTGATGTTTTTTGTTGTATTCTCCAGGGTATATCAGATGATCTGTTCTCTCAGCTGAGCTCCATGCTACCTCAGATCTTCAGAATGTCAAGGACAGTGGATCTAACACATACCACTACCCCCAAGAGAAAGTGATTTGTAAACCCACCTTGAACTCTCTCTCATCAAATGTTCTCCATGAGTATGATTCTGAATCTCTAGAATGACTTGGAATGATCTTTAAAGAATGTCTTGAACAGTGGATACATGAACAGATGTACAACAACCGCCATGATGAAGTGATGGACAAACCCTGCTTGAAACATCTTGTCTAAACCTTGCCTGGTATATCATCTGTTGTGGAGCCAGCAATGTGTCAAGTTTTATCATTATACATAGAGGTAACGTCTTTCTGGCTCCAAACAGATGCTGTGTATGCATGAACAGTATGTATATCTAAATTTACCTTGAATGATATTTATAATGTCAAAAACAATGGATCTATTAAACGAACACATGCCACTGCAGAGCAGAGAAAGTGATGGACAAACCTAGCTTTAAATCTCTCCTGGAATCCTTGTTTTTCTAGAACAACTTTGAATGGTCTTTAGAATGTCGAGAACAGTGAACCTAACCCATTCAACCACAAGAGAGAGTGCTGGACAAAAGAGCTTGAAATCTTTCATCAAATCTTTGTCTGGTATCTATATCTCTATTAAAGATGAACTGTAATATACACCTGACAGTGGTTCTCCAATTTTTTATCCTCCAAACCCCTGATAATGATCAAGTTGGTTACAGTAAGAACAAAATGAATGGCTTTTGTGTAAACTTTACTCAAAATGTTTGATGATGTTAACTATATTAATATTTATATATCATTCCCAATTCGATGTACTATAGTTCATCTGGTAGAGGTACATGTACAGTGTTGCAGGGCCCATCTCTCTGATTTATGCTCAGGAGCCCAATTTGGGAATGTTATCTGGTTATATAGTCATCATTTCTGGTAATTTTGGAACAGCCCTTTACCTTTACCCTTTATGAATGTTGTTACACTATGTCATGAAATGAAATCATACCAAAGTAAGAGTAGGAAACTAAAATATTGTGAAGAAGGCTCGAAGGAATTACATTAATCATGTGAAAATGCTCTGCATTCCAGAAAGTTTGTTGTACATGTATCTTTACCCCTTTTTTTCTGAACACAATTTGTCTTATGAAAACAAATTATTGTGATTCCAATTCATATTTTCTATCTATTTAGTTAAAATTCTAGAATTCCATTTAGACATGACGTAATGTAAAACAGTACATGGATATAGGGGATAACTACTGTATCACCAATTCCTTGTTTATAGGGGATACCACGAGTATAGACAATCAGGTTTAATGTTAAAGCTTATAATTGAGCCTACAACAAATGATTTAAACTGCTTTTAAAGTTTCTATTTTTATTCTTTAAAGTTGGATTATGCATTTATTCATGTGACATGATCAGATCAGAAGATGCTACTAATTTTTTTCTCTTAATTTTTAAATTCTTGCCAATATTTTATTAATTGTATGTAGCAATAGAACAATGTACTTGTGTGTTGTCTTGTTTTCATGTACAGCTGAAATTGTTTTTTTTAAATCAAACTCAGACTAGTGTTATGCACAATCATTATTTTGATACTGTGGTTTTCAAAACACAAACAATTCATTCTCCTGTCATTAATACTTTTTAAAAATAATTATTTAAATAGGAAAACGCATAGAAAATGAGTAAGATCCTCTTGGATATAGACACTTTAAACAAAATATTCCTTGTTCTTTGAGATCCATTCGATAAAAATTCTCCAAGGAATTGCAAAATAAAATAAAGAAACCTATCATCTGTGTAGAGCCAGAAGGGCGTTATTCAATATATGTTAAAAGTATCATAATGCCCTTTTGGCTCTAAGCAGATGTGGTGTTAATGTAGATCATGACCAAGGGGTGTAAAAGTAAACTTTTACCTCTATTCACCTTTTTTATTTAAACAAATCATGGCTTTCTTGCTTTCTATCAACAAATATCACAAATAAATCAAACAGAAAGTAATTGGGGCTTACCAAAACTAGTCTCTTAAAACTAGCCTAAGTGTGTGAATTACAATGTCATTTTGATTTAAATGTATATAAATGTAAACAGCAAAATATGTTATCAATGATTACAAATGTAAATATACTGTAGAATACTATAATGTATTGTCATGAATGATAGAGATATATTGTAATGGTCAAAATGTTGTACATGTAAGTATCCAGATGTACTACACAAAAGTGATATACCAAACCAGATATTAAAAATAAATTAAATACAAATTTAATGCTAGTGCTTTGAGCCTTATTTTCTTCTTTTGTTTTATCTCCCCATACAATTTCTGTTCCATTTCCAAATTTAGAAACAAATGTTTAGTTCTCACAATTGTGTAGATTTTAAAAAAGTACCCATTTGAAATTGGGGTGAAATCATACTTTCTTTCAATTTTACTCTCTACTCTTTTCTCCTCATTTTTAATATCATCACTTTTATACCCCCCCCCCCTCTTTTTCTCTCTCTCTCTCACCCTCCCAATATCAGATCACTCATCAAGCTTTGCTCACTTGCTCTCTCTGTCTTTTGCTCCCTCTCTCTCTCTCTCTCTCTCTCTCTCTCTTTTGCTGTCTCTCTCTCTCTCTCTCTCTCTCTCTTTATCTCGCTCTCTGTCTCTCTCTCTTTATCTCGCTCTCTGTCTCTCTCTCTACGCATTCATAAACTGTTTTCACCTGTCTTTTTTCGGGTCTCTACTCACAAAAGAAAACCTCTCTTGATTTTCTCTACCTTTCTCCCTGCAATATCAAGTAGTCCTCCATAGAAAATAAAATTGAAAGATTATTTTTCTCTCACTCTTTTTTATTTTCTATCCCATCTCAAATCCAACAGTCGTTTTCAGGACTACCCACATGGTGAAACCGTAAACTTGTTATTCTATCTATAATCATCACACAGTCAAAAAATGTAAAAGAACTTTGAAAAATTTCATATCTTAGACCAGAAGGTTCTTTTTTATTATAAATATTGGAGCACAAAATTGCCGACAATAGCACAGCTATGTAACATGTTTCCGTTTCTAACGATAGAATCTACCATATAGAGTTATACATATATCATGACAGACCGACTTTCTCTCTTAGAATAGAATACATAAATACACCAAAGATACAATATGGCAACATTTAGAAGGATTTCTATTCTTTGTACAGCGTCAAGGCACATAAAAATCATTATGAACATTCACTTTCACTTTTAGTACTACACCGTGATACAATATGATACACTATAATTATATAACTGGGTAACTATTGAGATCTCAAAAGATTGAAAAAACCGAGGAAATCATCTGCTTTTGAATGAGCAAGAATAACTTTGTTTTGACATGTACAATATCACATATGTAATAGAGGCAAGACATTTTGTATTATGTTACAGAAATACATGGTACATTACAGTGTTGTAACATACAAGTGCTTGTAGCAATGTACATTTCACTACTTATCAGTGGAATGTAATTAGTACATGTGTCCATTGAAAATATGGTTCTTAGAGCATGAAAATACTTTTTATACACAATTGGCATGTCACATGAATTAAATAGATGTACTGTGAAGATATAGATTCATTTGTGATTCTAAAATCTATGCAATTGTGGATCGAGAATACCTATTGAATAAGAAATACATCAGTGCTTTTCTTCTTTACATCAAACTTTACTTTCTCATATCCATTGGGCACCATGTAGTGATCAATATCTCTTTTTATCTTTCCAAAATGGCCTAAATGAAAATTGAGCAAATAGTCTTAGAAATTCAAATACTGAGACAATTTCCTCCATGACCATCAAGTCTACTTCTTTCCAAATTTTGACCATCAATTCTACTTCTTTCCAAATTTCATTAAAAAAAATAAACAAATTGTATCTCCAGTATAAACCCTAGTAAAAATAATCATGTTATGGAAATAAAATGTCTATATCTGTTAAAAGATAATTGTAAAGAAAGATCCTGCTTTCTAATAAGATAAAACTTCAAATCTGTTTGGCGCTACTTCCAATTAAAGTGAACCGCCTGCATGAACAGTGAGAAGAAATATCTACCTCCATCTACTGTGCATCTTTCATGAGTGATTCTTTCATTTTGATGGAAAAGAATCATCTCTATAAAACAAAGTGAACATATAATCATACTAGTGTTTATATGTCAAATTACTACTTCACTTGTCTACATTCAATAACCCTAAAATCACCAAGACATGTTTTAGAAGTGTCGTGGTCTAGTGGATGCCTCCTCGGACTGAGGATCACATGGCTTGACCTGCCGCAGCACTAATGTCCTCTGGCAAGACATTAATCTACGTTTGCTGCTCTTCACCCAGGTGTTGAATTGGCACCGGTAGGAAGGAAATCCTGCAATGCTGTGAGCACTGAAATCGGTAGCCTAGTAGAGCCGGGGTAATTTTGGAGCCCCTTGAGCTCCTTGCCTGATGAGTATATACGTGCACAATATCAAAAATATCCAATATGATCATGCTATCATTATTATAATGTTATTGTCTACTTTCTTAGATACCTCTGTTCATTTTATACATCTAAGAAGAATATGGTGCTTTGGCAATTAATGCACTTTATGACCTCATATAGATTTGACCTTACATATCTATTTACAGTATTTACATTTCATAGAAATACAAATTATTAATAAAAAAATCAACCAACTAAATTACACCAGACTAAGGGTCCGTAATTCATTTTTGTAACATTATGTAATTTCAACTGTAATTGCACATTTCACAAAATCTCTGAAACTTTCTCAATTACTAAACTATCCAAGGCATTCTACTTTTTCTACATGACTCTTCTACTTATTTTGGTTTTACAAGGGCACAAAACTTTACCAAAAAAGAAAAAAGAAAGAAAAGAGAAACAAGAAATTTAAAAACAAAAACAAAATGTTTGCTGGGATACCAGAGCCTGTAGATGGACATGTTCTGTTTGAAAAAAAGTACTACATGAATGGTTTCAATCCTCTTGCACATCCTTTTGTTCTGTTCTTGTTAAGTCCCTTTACGAAAAACAAGAACATAAGATGTGATTATCTATCTCTATAGTTTTATCTTATGGAATGAAAGCTAGAAATGTAACATGAAGACACAAAGGTAGCATACTACTACTACCAATACTACAAATACTTTGTTTTGTAAATACCGTAGAACATATTGAGCCCTTGAACTTCATTAGTGTGTTTGTGTGTGTGGAGGGGGGGGGGGGGTATTCTAATTTTGTTTCAATTATAATTAATAAAAAAGTGATTAAAAAGAAGGACAAAACTCTTTCATTAACTATGAACATTTATTAATGAAAGAAAATTTATCTCTATATATCAATTCTACATCTACACTCTTTGTATAAGTCTACTACATGTTACATATTTTCTTTTAGCCATATCTTTTTCCTATGAAGCTTTTAAATCTCTCTAAATGTATATGAATATTCCAATCTATGATTCATGCATCTACTGCTACTCGATCTGGCTAAAAATTAGATCTCAATTCACTCTCAAATAAGACCAACTGCCAACCAACAAGTAATAAACCAAAGTAGATTCATCCTTCGTAACATTTTACAATTTGGAAGCCTTTAGTTCATCATTAAAAAATGTACATTTTCAGCACGACTATTCTTTTCCCCCATACCATGTCACCCTTTCTATGTCACTTGGTCTACAAACGCTTATTATAAATGAACTTTCGTTGATTCCTATTTGTTGATTCCTATTGATTCTTCTCTAGCTCTCTCATTTTCAAAATGAATAGATAATACACAGTTAATTATACATGTAACACCAAAATTATTCATACCCCTTGTAAATTTGATGTTTTTTGTGATTTTCTTAACTCCAGAATAAGAGGTGGACTGGTTGAATTTGGGCTTTTGTTGAATACTTTTAGATGTAAGCTTTAAAGCCCCACTGCACTTCTTATTACGTGCCTAATCAGTGACCAATGGTCCTCCATGGTCCCCTTTTTTCTGGTGT